GCTTCCAGGCTGAAGGTTCGAGTTCCGCAGTCGGCGTTGAACTCCCTTCGATGGTGGGCCTCTCCAGTGCTAGCACGGGGCACAGAGTTCAAGGAACCAGCCAGAGCTGTCCTCACCACAGACGCCAGCCTATTCGGCTGGGGAGCACACCTCCAGTCGCAATGGGCTCAGGGGCGGTGGTCCTAGCAGGACTTAGAAAACAATATCAACTGGCTGGAGCTCAGGGCCATTCATCTGGCACTGCAACATTTCAAAACCTTGATAGCGGGTCAGTACATATTAGTGCTTACAGACAATGTAGCTGCCAAAGCTCATGTCAACAGGCAGGGGGGGACCAGATCCAGACCCCTCTTGTAGGAGGCCAGATGACTGGGGTCTTGGGCAGAGCTGAACCTGGCTTCCATCAAGGCGGAACACATATCTGGGGTGAACAATTACCAGGCGGACTCGCTAAGCAGAGCCACCGTAGACCATGGTGAATGGCGCCTGGAACCAGGAATTTTCCGGGAAATCATGGTCAGGTTTGGTGTTCCAACCTTAGATATTTTTGCATCCCCAACCAACTCACAACTTCCAAGATTCCTTTTCAAGTTCCCGACCCCATCAGCAGAGGGGACAGATGCCCTCCGCAATCCCTGGCCCAGGGATCTGCTTTATGCCTTTCCTCCCCTACTGCTTCTTCCAGCCACGATCCGCAGAATTTTACACGAGAGGGCGGAAGTTCTTCTGGTCTCTCCCCATTGGCCGCGGCAACCGTGGTTTGCGGACCTGGTGGAACTCTCCGTCTCACCTCCATGGAGGATTCCAGCAGGTCGTATCTCCCTCACTCAAGGGGATATCCAGCACCCGGACCCGCAATGGCTCAAACTAACCGTTTGGCACTTGAGTGGCAGGCCCTGAGCCAGGTCTCATATTTGTCGAGAGTGATAGCGCTGATTCAGCAATCCAGGCGTCCCTTTACGAATAGGATCTATGATGCAACATGGCAGAGTTTCTGCAATTGGTGCACAAGTCATAAGGTGGAACTCACGGGTGTTTCGGTCCCTATTGTACTAGAATTTCTGTTGGAGGGGTTAGATAAAGGGTTATCCCCGAACACAATCCGTAGACAGGTCACTGCTCTAGCTATTGTTCTCACGTGCGAAAATGCCACTCCTCTGACTCACCATCCCTTGGTTCATTCCTTCTTGAAAGGAGCAACCAATGCCAAGCCACCAACAGTTCACCGATACCTATCATGGGACCTACAGCAGGTCTTGCAGGCCCTAGTTGCTCCCCCCTTTGAACCTATGGAGACATGTTCATTTGATCTGTTATCCATGAAGGTGGCATTCCTCGTGGCAATCACGTTGGCCAGGCGAATTTCGGAAATGGCCAAAAGTCAGAGAGGACCTTTGCATTTCCTTCCCAGACAGAGTAGTCCTCAGACTTGACCAATCCCAGGACAACGAGAGTCAGTGGAGTACACTGGACGTCCGCAGGGCATTACAATGTTATATCAGTCGGACTGCGCCCTTCCGTAGATCTGAGGCCTTGTTTATTTCCTTCCAACCTTCGGCTAAAGGCCAGAAGATCTCTTCATCGACTATAGGGAGGTGGATCAGGGCTTGCATTGCCCTGGCATACAGAACACAATCATTACCTGTCCCTAGAAATATTACGGCCCATTCCACTAGAGGTGCCACTACTTCCACAGCCTGGGCGACACAAGCATCTATAGGGGAGATTTGCAGGGCGGCCACATGGTCTTCCCCTTCGTCCTTCATCACAAGATTGACAAATATGCATCCTTAGATGCCTCCTTTGGGCGCAGAGTTTTGCAGAGAGTATTAACATCTGAAACATCACAGGCCCAAACTGACTCCCTCCCTTAGGGACACAGGGCTTTGGTAAGTCCCACTAGTGGAGTCTCCATCCAATCATGCTGGAGAAGGGGCGTTGGTCTTACCTGAACGCCTTTTCTCAGCATGATGATGGAGACTCCACCCCCTCCCAGATAAGGTCAGTTGGTCCGGATTCCAATGAGAGGAACGCAGATGCGTGGACCAATGTCTGTACACCGACTCAGTCTTAAACTGGGCATGGGGACAAAGGGAGGCGTAACTTTAACTATGACTTAGTCTGATTGGAGCAGGAAGATTAAGACAACCCACTAGTGGAGTCTCCATCATCATGCTGAGAAAAGGCGTTCAGGTTAAGATCAACGCCCCATCTCAGACAAGTGACTGTCTAGTCTCTTCTTAAAACCTCCAGTGATGGAGCACCCACGATTTCTGAAGGCAAGCTGTTCCACTGGTTAATTGTCCTCACTGTTAGGAAGTTTCTCCTTAATTTCAGGTTGCTTCTGTCTTTGGTCAGTTTCCAACCATTTTCCTGCCCTCTGGTGCTTTGGAGAATAATTTGTCCCCTCTTTTTTGTAGCAGCTCCTCAAATACTGGAATACTGCTATCATGTCACCCATTTCTTATTTTCTTTAGACTAGCCAAACCCAAGTCCTGCAGCCGTTCTTCATACGTTCTAATCTCCAGGTCTTTGAGCATTTTAGTTGCTCTTCTCTGAACTTTTTCCAAAGTCACAATATCTTGGTTGCAGTATTCCAGGTGTGGTCTTGCTCTATTAATCCCGGGAAAGCTTATAAAAATAGAACAGATTACAAGTAAAACAAGCATCACTTCACATTATTATTTGTACACTAAAATCATAATGCTCTTAGGACCTGGGTAAGCCACTCTGGTGAGGAAATCCCATAAACACAATACCATATCTCCATTGAAAAATATGTTTCTTAGCAATTATAAAATATTTCCATAAAGAAAGCAAAACAAACCTGTAACCGCTCCAGTTGTTGCTCATATAATAATATATAGGTAGAATATAGGTAGGCCTCAGTTTATGACCACAATTGAGTCTGGAATCTTGGTTTCTGAGCAAAGCAGTCAAAGACATCATGTAACCACTTTGCTCAATGACGGCAATCCTGGCACTTCTACCATTAGGCAATCTTGCGGATCGTTAAGCAAACAAAATCTGTGATAAGGATTATGGGGGTAGCTCATGGGGATGGGGGAGGCACTGGAATGCCTGTTGCAGGCTACAGGGCCCCCAGTGCATAGAAACCTGCTACAGCCTTGGAAGCCTTGGCTGATCCTCATGTGACAAGCCTGGGAGGCTTCAGCCATGTATAGGGCCCATCAGCTCAAGCAAATTGCCACACTTATCTTTGTGTTTTTTTCTGCAGCTACTTTTCTGCACCCAACCTATTGCGAGGTGTGGCCTTCCTATCCAGGCTGCCTCAGGCCTTTCTGCAAGTGGACATCTTTCTTCTGATCGTTCAGAACAGTTATTCTCCAAATTGTGCAATTTGGAGAAGGAATCTTCCAAATGATCACTAGAATATTACCCCTTCTTGTGAATATACCAATCCATCTATGAATAATCACAATAGCAAGAATAGCACCTGCTGTCATTGTCTGCTGATAGGTCTTAGGCACTTGAGCTACCATATTTTTAAACAGAGGTTCCAGTCTAGGTTAGGAAATTTACAGCCATAGAAGGAGGATTGGATAGAGCAATGGGGGGGGGGTACTTTCTCCCACTTCACTGAGCATCCCTCTATTAAACTGATAAGCATTCTAACCTTCTCCTTCATTCTAACCATTAATAAAAAATAAAAATTGAACATTGTCATATCCCATGCATTATTGCAGTCCAACCTGATAAGGAGATATTACTAAAAACTCTTTCAGCATGCATTTTGAGCACCTATTTATCCATGTAATTATCATGTCCAACCTACACTGAATCAGAATGTTATGACATACCTTGTCAAATTGTTTCCTGAAATCAGGATATATTGCTTTTAAAGCATTCCATAATTAATTATGTAAATAATAATAAAAAATATCAGCATAGTCTAATAATAGTTTTCTCTTGACAATTTCATATAAATTTCTAGTAATCACCAAATAGTTTTTAAAGTGCTTACAAATCACTCCATTTATAATCCCGCTACAGTGTTCCCCAGCATATTAATGTCGCACGTATCAGTTTGCTAATTTCCTCAATTTTTCAACTTTTTAAAAATAAGGTTAACATATGCTGTTCTCTAGACATCTGGCATTTAATCCATTCTTCTGGGGTTCTCAAAATTAACACATAAGGTTTTAGCCAAACCAATTGCTAGTTCCTTCAAAACCCTAGAATGCTACTGATCTGGATATTGAGTTTCAAAATAATTCAAAACACTCCCTAACTATGCTTCTGTTAATTTCAAGTTTTAAAAGGTATTTCTTCATTCTGTTCCTCATAATCTGGGACACATTTCCTTTCCTTGGGAAAAAAAAATGCCACATCAAAACCTATAGTCTGTTATGCAGTGCCTGTAGAGTTTCCTGATAACTTTTGCAATATATTTTGTTGGGGTTTTGTACTGTGTACATATGATGTGTTTAACACCTCAGCTCACCAAGTGTCCTGGAAATGTGAATTTTGAATCTCAGTGGACGTACTGAAGGAGTAAAATGAAACAAGTAAAGGATTGGCATGATGTGAAGAAGAGGATAAAAGAAGACGGTTTTTCTCCCACTACCAAATAACGTGATCAAATGTAACCCTCTTGATCCTTGATGACATGCAATTGTAATACATTGCTGAAGTATATTTGGGTCCTTACAAAGAGGAAGGAGGGAGCAAAATACATCTAGTTCATCCTCTCTATCCAGATGTCTAAATGGCATACTGTTATTCTGAAAATAAATGGGGAATCTACAATCAGCTTCTAGCAAAGCCCAATTTCTGTGAGGCAGAATTAAAGATATCATAATGGGCAACCTTTTGTACGTAGTGAGGTCAGTCTATAATTTTTTTGTTATGTTAGTCTGCTCGATGCTCTATTTTCAGAAATCTCAAATATAACGTAATTTAAAATTGATCTACCCAAAAAGAAGTACCAATGGTAATTGCCTGCCATCTGCAGCCTCTGCAAGGTCTTGATACTATACCTGTGAAACTCACAAAACATAATGTACTGCACTCAGGAGGCCCTAGAAAAGAGAACAAAAAGTCCTTAAGATTAAAAGAAAACCGAGGATCAGCATGCTGTTCCTTGTGAAGCTGTATATGTTGTTTTAATAGTTTATTTCACACTTCTGCACAGCCTTGTAAATTTGGACAGCTGCCCACAATGCCTTTGGAAATCTGAAAAGGCAATTAATCTGAGTTCCAAGCCTGGAACAAACTGTAATATCTGCTGCTCAGCAAATTAAAGGTGAATAAGAAATGGCAGTAGGACTGAGTAGCAAATGACCATTAGAAGGATTGATTTGAAGGCAATATGCCAGTTAACAAGGAAGGCACCTGTTAAGTGCCTTGCATTTGTGTGAAACTTCAGTTAGATAACCCAAACTGGAGTTTGCTGCTGGAGAAATCTGATTCTCTTTAAAACAAACAAACACTCAAATGCATGAGGATGTGAGATAGCTTCAGCAATCAAAGGAAGACAATTCTTTTGCTGTAAAATTTTCTTGATTTAAGCCGTCAGTTGTCACAAACCAAATTGAAACTTATCCTGTAGGGAGAAGTTAAGATATTATGTAAATACACATATTTCATATCTTGTATATCATGAGGGAGACCACCTAGATTAGGAAACTTGCACTGGGGCAGGGATAGGCAACCTTGACTCTTTATGACTCGTGGACTTCCTGGCTCAGGAATTCTGGGAGTTGAAGTCCACGAGTCATAAAAGAGCGAAGGTTGCCTACCCCTGCACTGGGGGAACAAGAATTAATCTCAATTCATAAAGCAAAAGAGGAAAAAAAACTTTTCTTTGGTTTTCAGGGGCTGGCTGGGGAATACTGAGAATTGAAGTCCATGTATCTTAAAGTTGCCAAGGCTGAGAAACACTGGCTTCAATGATCTATGACTGTCCACTGCTATTAGTGGAAGCAATCCCATGGTCACCAAGTTGATTCTCAGCCAGACCATTAATATTGCTCACCAGATTTTGGCTTCTATTCTGGGGAGCCAGCTTCTTAGTTTAAGAGGGCTCTTAAAAACTAGCAGTTTATTTTCATGTTTTAATTTTCACAATTGCTTTTCCAGAGGTGATGCATTCTCCTATTATTTTGGTTAAAAATTCAAGGTCTACTTATCTGCAGATGGGCTTATACATGGGTAAAGTATATGTATATACTTTAAAAAGGTATTACCATAAATGTTTGGTTTCTGCTTATGAAGTGTCTTTTGATGAAAAATGATCAATATTATTTAGTGTGATTAAAGTCACATTATATATGCAACATTCTACCCATAACCATAAAAGTGATATGGCTGAACTTAAAATAGGCAGTTTTGTTCTAGATATAGAAATTTTAAGTTTAAAAAGGGGGATTTCACAGGTTATGTTCCACAGCTGCTTTATCTCCTAGAAAGTTGTTATGGAAGAACCCAACCATGCTGAATCCCTGACTATTGATGTCTCCTGTTTTCCCTTGGCAATTACTCAGATGTCCCAGTTTGAAGCTTCTTTTTTATTCTAGGAAGTGCACAAAAAAAGCTTCTAGCAACAACTAGGATACCCTGAGAATGAAAGTCAGTAGATGTTTCACAGACAGGACCATTATTGTTCACATACCTTCATCGAATCATTGGCTGATTCAATGAAAAGCCGTTATTGGCAAAAAAAGAAAAAAGAAAAGAAAAGAAAAAAGTACCAGCATTGGCTAGTGACTGCCAGTTTCTATCCTGTCAGTAAATGCATAATACAAGATGGAAAAACTAATTGCATTCAGAATCATTATTGCCTCTTCATGTTCAGATGAACACTATTATTATTCCCGTGATGACACTCTCCATTTTCCCCCTGCAGTCTATTTTTGGTTAAATGGATCTCAAGGTAATCAAGCAATCTAAAATTCTGCAGAATTATTTTTATTAATTCACATTTCAAGTGTTGTTTTCTTCTTTCTGTTTGACTCTGAGTACATCGCTTTTGTCAGAAACTCAGCTGCTTACACATGGCTTACTGTCTTTAGTCCTTGTAGCCCTCACAATATTTTTTTCAATCTGTAAATTGTGGGAAATGACCAATTTGGGATGGGTCAATCCCAAAAATGATGCAAAATAGGTATGCTAAGCATTAAAGATGCTTTAAACAGCTATTTTGCAACTGATCGCAGAACATTCAACTCATGCCTCTCTAGACACACTACAATCTACAAACTGCATCCCCTTCTCCCCCAGCAGAAACATATTTTCAATACTCAGCATAAAACATGTTTTAACCTATACCAATTTTATTATCAGCAAAGAATGGGTAGGACAATGGAAGGTTACCCCTCAAAAGGATTGTTTAATCCTGACTTGGGCTTCAAAATCTGATTTGATATAAAAAAATGCTCTGAATTTCTTTTCAGAGTTATATAATAGCCATTTTCCATTTGTGTATGTCAAAGGAAAAAAATGGCCATGTTCAGAATAAAGACCACATTTCTCCTAACCCCATTTCATTATTTTTATAAATTAATTCCTTTGTACATTCATTGTATCCTATTTATCCTTTTCAGTTTATTTTGCATTATTAATTCAATATAAAATCAAACAAAGATAAGCAATATACAGTACAAATTATAGAGAAAGAAACAGAAACCAACTAAAATTAGAAATAACATATAGGACATATTTGCACAGATACATTCTCTCTCGCACACGCACACAGACACACACACACACCTCAATAAATGATAGCAATCTTTCATTATAACCATCCACAGCTAATCTATCTCAATTCAGTATCTCATTTGTTCATAAGTTGCTAACATCAGCTCAGTATAGATGGTACTCAATGGTATGCAAAGATGAAGTTATCTCAGATTTTTCAATTTCCTCATTTAAGAACGATGTGCAGTTTGGAGGTTCTCTTGGATTCTCAGCTTCTACAGGAAGAAGAGATGGCAGCTATGATCAAGATGGCCTTTGCATTGATCTATCTAGTGTGTCAACTGTGCCCCTTCAGGGATAGCCGGTCATTTGACTATTCATGCCCTATTCATCTTAAGAAGAGACTGCTGCAGTGCATTCTACAAGTCAAGATGTCTTTATATAACTGAAAATCAATTCACAGTTTCAAGTCTTTTAGTGCAGAGTAGGGGAGACACCAACTGGGCAAAATGATACAAAAGCTCAGTAAACAATGCTCACAGCCATTCATGTGGGCTGCGGAATAGATTTAACATATCCAGCCTCAAAATGGCTTACAGCCTTAGAAGGATGGCTCCTCTTTATAGACAATTACTATCTGTGCCATAAATATCACTATCTGTTTCTATTCTGCATCAATTTAACCTGCATTTTACTTTTATTTATATTTGGGATTTCATTTGATTTGCATTTTATTCTTTGTGCTGTATTTTGTACTTAATTATTAATTTGCTCCAGCTCAAGTCGTTATAAATTCTTAATTTGTTGCTAATTCTAAAGGAAACTCTTTGATTCTTTGATTTGCTTGTGTTACATGTATCAATGAAAATTTGTTTACCTGGAAAAGACTGTAGAGTGTAGGATATTTGGATTTAATTCCCCAAAATTCATTTTCAGCCATTGTTTAAAGTTCCTTTGGTGTAAATGTTGTAGAGAGGTCTTAAATCTGAATGCCCTCCTGAGAGGTGAGGTAACACATAGGCCTCAGATGACCTAATTATCATCTATCATATAATTGGCAAACACTATCTATACTTGAGTTTAAAGATAGGAAACCTAGTTAAAAGCAAAAAAAAAAAAAAAAATGCCTTACTTCAAACAGTAGGCAAGAATACATGGATGTCTATGGAGATTCTCAATCATCCAGATCATGGTTGTCCCAAAGGTGCTTTTCCAAAAGGCAACAAAACGGAAGAAACTTCCTGGAAGAGAAGTGAAATGTTTTCAAAGAAAGGAAAAAAGAACCCCAAGAAAGTCCAGTTGGCTTTTGGAAAAATCAATTTTGGAAGAATACACGGGGTTACATATTTTTATACATAACATCCTATGGTACAACATGCTACACAATCACGCAGATATTTTTAAACAATTTTTTATGGACTCATGTATTCTTCCATATTCCTGTTCATTCAAACATTTCCACTTTTCTTCTTTTTTAAAAATGTTGGCATTCATAATATCACAGGGTTGGATTCATTACAGTCCAAAAGGTACTTTTTCAAAAAGCAACTGGACTTTGTTTTTTTTTCCCCTTGAAGATGTTTCGCTTCTCATCCAAGAAGGTTCTTCAGTTCTGACTAAAGAACTGAAGCTTCTTGGATGAGAAACTTCTTGGATGAGAAGCAAGATGTCTTCAAGGAAAAATAATGTCCTGTTGCCTTTTGAAAAAGCACCTTTGGGACAACCATGACCTGGATGACTGAGACTCTCTATAGAGATTCATTACAGTGTTATATGTTCACCAGCAAAGTTAGTCCACATTACAGTTTGCAAATTGATCTCTAATCATGGTTGCAAATTGAATTATTTTATTATATTTCTACATCTTGTGTAACAAGGAATAATTCAGGGCATTTATCTTTTATAAAATACCAGTGAACCTCATGTAAAATTAACTTAGAGCAATTCAGAGCAGAAACAAAGAATACCAGCCACAGAGGTAATAGAACATGTAAACGTTCAATAAGCAAAATAACCTGGAAGCATCACAAAGCAGAAATCGTTCTTGAACACACAGAGATAACACTATATAAAACACAAAATGATAAACATATCTAATGGATTTTTTAAAAATCATATAAAAATAAAAATAATATAGTAATACAACTAGGAACTGACTTACAAATGTACTGACTCACAAATATACTTCCATAATACTAGAAACAACAATCTTTTGATCTAATAAGAAAGCACTGGATATGAGCAGAGAATTACAACTGCAGTTGCCTGAAGCTTCAGAGATGCTCAAAGAAAATAGCAGGAGTTTTGCTCTAAACTCCAGATATCTCCAAAAAGTATGCAGGTAGGAACTCTTTGTCTAAACATGCCTAGCCATTTAATTTAAAAATTAAACAGTATTAAAAGGAATTACTCAGGAAGAACTTTGACAAAAGAATTGTCTGTATTAATAGTCTCTGTGAGGTTAAATGACCAAACCATTTGTTATCTAAGACAACAATTAACTAATCAATAAGTAATGATTCTTATTTTAGTATCAAATAAGCATATTTTAAAAGTCATATATTATATTAAGATATCAAACTTTTCTATCTCCAATGAAAAAAAAGCTAGAACCCACAGCCTTTCTTTTTGCTTATGTTTTCTATTAGAAATTCAGTAAAATCCTCAACTATTTCTCTTTTTAAATAATCCCTCAATTAATATCACAATAAGATTGGTTGGAATGTTTTCATTATGCTTACTTTCTAATAAGTATACATAAAGGTTAGTAACATCCAAATATGAACACCATAGAATTCTTCAGATGTTCATCCCACATATCTGCATACAAGAAGATTGGATTGAGAATTATAGAATATAACTACATATAGATTTTCCAGGGACTTATATGTAATTCACACAAATAGAAAAACACACATAGATCATTTCTGCAGAAAGATAGCAATCCTGAACATGTGAGCCACAGAGTTGGCTTCAACCAAGGAGAGAACTAATTCAAGATTGTGATTTCCCTATCTAGAACAAGTGATCATGACAATATGGGATGCTGCAGAGGACTCTCATTATGCAGCTGGCCTGCCACTAGAAAAGTTTTGCAGATGCATAGAATGTGAACAAGGAGCAGAAGTAGTGCATTGATAGGGAACTCCTATAGGAAAGTAGACTTCTTTATAAAGCTTTCTAAATGACTATGGGCAAGCCCTTATTTCTCACCCCCTATTTGGAAAGTACAAAGTATCTGGACTTTAAAAAAAAAAGACTTGTGTTACAATCCTGCATAGAGTTTAGCTGGGTAATTTCCTTTGCCTTCATTGGAAATAGGCCAGCTGTGCAGAAGACAGCAATTTCTGATGGTCAAAGCACAGCATATTGTCATTTAGGAAGCAGCATCATATTGAACTGTGCTAAGTGTAAATCTGCTAAATGATCCTCTTTCTGCTCCTTCTGTGTGTAGATCTCAGCCCATAGCCCTTGGAACAATAAGTCCCATAAACAAGACCACTTCAGAGGAGGGGGAAAAAAACCCCACCCTGCACCTGTGTTTACTTACCTAGCAGAGAACCTATTAAGATGACAACCTGCATAACGGTAGTAAAATGTCGATATGTTTGTTCTTCTTCCCTATATGCCTCGTATTCTGACGTCCCGACCGCGTGGGCGCTTCGGTTGATTCCCACGATTTGAGGAGCACCGGATGCGTTCAAGCTTTTGACAGCCTGAAAGGGACCGCGCTCGCTCGCGTTGGCTGAAGCCCAGCTTGCATTGTAGCCCATGGCGAGGTGTCTTGCTGCCTCCCTCTTACTTAACAATCACCTCCGCACGAAGCCAGCACTCTTCGCCGCACAAAGCACGCAGTTCGCACCTGGTTTTCTAAGCGGAGCCGTTTCCATTGTGTTTCCACTAAATGTCTGGACCCCGGAAAAGCCGTCTGACGTTTCAGGTCTGCATCTCATTCCAAAGAGGGGCATACATCAGGGCAAAATGGGGGCGGGGACGGGGGGAAAGCTGACTGCATCTGGTACTCCGTTGTCCCATATTTCTTGCTTTTCCCCCTCCTCCCTCGCTTCAATGCCACTGCGCGCCCGTCCCCTTTCAGCGCGTTTGCACAGCCAAAACCACAAACAAAGCCTAGATAGGATCCATGCCGCCTGCTCATTTCCCTCTAGTAGGCGCAACCAGCATACCTCCAAGTGGGACACTTGACAACCCTTTTTCGTGGTGCAGTTTCTGGCATGGTGAAACTGAGGACCGAAGCTCGCACATCTTGGTGAGGCAATGCCTTTCTCCCCTTTCCATTTGCCTAACACAGATGCCGTTTCAAGTCTTCTGCGAGCCTCGGGTGGTTTCCGATCAGTAAGGCTTTAAATTATGCTTGACGTATGCTTCTCCGGCAATCGCATTTGAAGAGCTTGACGCTTCTGACCCTCACTTTACAGATTGGCATCAGCAACTGTTCAAAGGTTTTTGAGAACCACGTTGACTGCAGGTAGCTTTTCTGTTTTCTTAGAAAGAAAGTACGAATCACATGACACGTGACCCTCAGCGGGTGGGCTCTGGTTTTGTTTTTTTTTTAATTTTTGGGGGGATGTGGCAGCCATTTTGCCTTTTGGACTGTCAATTTAAGGTCTGAATAAAACCGCTTTGGAGAATGGAAAGCTATTGTACTGCAGAAAGGGGCTGCATTTAACCGACTGAAGTTTTAATTGACAAAGAACTTTCCAATTTAGCAAGCCTTGCAATAATGTAATATTTTGTTTTGACCTCCCATTTGTCATACACACATAAAATACTTCTTTTAAAATCATTTTGTCTATTAAGTTGTTTATTTATTAAATGTAGGTGCCAATGAGTATCCAAACATTTGCAAATGTCTTTTAAAATTTATATGCAAAATATCAATAAAGGCCAAATTGGCACTAGATTTTGCCAACATTGCACCCATCGCCACTATACCTGAGTCCATCTATCTTGCTACAGGTCATCCTCTTCTTCTCATTCCATCCACCTTTTCCTGCATTGAAGACTTTTTCAGAGAATTAGGTATTCACATATTATATCCAAAATAGGATAATTTGTGCCTGGTCATTTATGCTCAAATTTGTTTGACAATCCATCTGTTTGTTTTCTTGCTGTCCATGATGGGCTCAGGAGGCTTCTTCAACACTAAAATTCAAAGGTGTCAATATGTTTCCTCTCCTACTCCCTCAGAGTCCAACTTTCACTTTTCCAAAATGTCACACAGAGTCCAACTTTCACTTTCCCAAAATGTCATAGGGGGCTTGCACAATTCTGATCTTTGTAGGTGTAGACAAATCACAGAATGTGAATATTTTCCTCAAGTCCTTTGATGTTAGTCAACCAAATATTAGGCTGTGGTAGGGTTTTTTTATTGCTTGTTCCTTTACTGTTAATGGTTGACAGTATCTATAGCTATCTACCACTTCTTCATTGACCACTCCAAAGTTGGTTGTTGTGCCTGGATTTCTTCTTGTTCTATAGTTTAAGTTTAATTCTGCACTTCTTCCATAATTCCCTTATTTTAGTTTCATCCAAATCATTTTAGGACCTTTATTTTCACTTTAATTCACTATCCTGGAGGATCCTTGTTGCCTTCTCATCTACTTCCAAAACAATTGGCATTTAGAAAGTCTGTCAGTATACTGAGTGAAGCATTGAATTGGTGGGATCCGGACAACAATACATCAGCTTGCAAGATAGTCTTTTAATAAAGATGCTAGCTTGCATGGATGAGCCTGAGTTGCACTCATTGATACTGGCCAAATATTCAGATAATGTAATAGCAAACCAATTAATACAAGTAACATCAGGTTCTATACATAATTGCACAAATCACATACATTTCATCAATTGTCAACAGTTCTTCAGAAGCAATGGAGTTTGTGCATTGTGTGAGGGAATAGTGTCTGAACTAAAATGTTGTCTGTTGTATCTGAAGTACAATGAATACATGTCTAGAGAATTTAGGATTGACTGTAAATACTGTAGATATCTACACAAGCTTTTGATAATCCTATTAGCAACTTTCCTAAACTCTGAGACAAATTCTTGTTCACCCTGTTATTTGTAGACAGGTAGTCTGCTAAAACTAATAAGGTAGAACATTTTTATTGGTTAAGACAGGGGTCCCCAGCCCGTTTGGAACTAGGCCATGCAAGCAGCAGGCAAGCACATGTGCACACTTCATCTTGCACGAGCTGTGGGTGCTTACACTCATATTATGAAGCTCCATTTGCATGAAGTTTCATTTGCATGAAGCTCCATTCGCGAGCAGCAGGCACACACATCCGCCACTCGCACAAATGGAACTGTGTGCACAAACACGTACCTGCCACTCACACAAAACCATCTCATCTCCCACCCACTCCCGCAACAGGACACTAAGCTGGAAAAGTTGGGGAGTTAAGGCACCAGACTAGAAATTGGGAGACTGTGAGTTCTGGTCCTGCCTTAGGCATGAAGCCAACTGGGTGACATTAGGCCAGACATTCCTCTCAGCCCTAGGAATCAGGCAACGTCATGACAACCACTTCCTAATGCTTGCCAAAAAAAAGATGCAGAGACTTGTCTAGACAATGCTGATTCAAGGGCACCAAAAAGAGAGAGAGAGAGAAAGAGAGTTAGTTGTCAATAAAACAGTTCATCCATGTTCCTCAACAGCTGCACCAATTTGTCTCCTACTGCTTTTATGTTATCTATTTTATTATAGTAATATCTGTTTTATGATGTATTTTTATTGTCTAAATGTTTTTAACATTTGAAAGCAATTTTAAACTGATAGTCTTTGGCCAAAGCAAAGTATTAAAATATTTAAGTTATGAGATAGGGAAAAAGTAACTAAAACTGGCAAACATAGGGAAATTGCAAATAAACATCAAAACCTCAGTTTCTATAGTTCTGAAAAGTACTATGGGGCAGTGTATAAGTCTAAGTATTATTGCTATTGTTATTGCTGTTTCAAAATCTTTCATTTTCTGAATCACTTTAATGAGAATAGATGCAGTTGCTGTATTTAAAGATAAGGATACATTTTGGAGCTCTGTAAAAGTAGAATAATGCAGTCAACCAGCAATAAAAATAATACATATCAGTATTAGAAGTCTCAAGCATCTGTGTAACTACATAGTCTATGAATAACTGAAGCAAAAATCACCTTCTCTAATTTGGATTGTAATACCATCTTAACTTGATAAAAGGTACTCTGAGCCATTGATACACCTTGCATGTATGCAAATAAAAGAGACTTTCAGGCAACAAGCATAGTTTGCATGCTTACATCTTCACACAGCACACAACCCCCTGGCTTGCTTGACTATAGTTTAATAAGATACATAGTCTGGGTTCACACAATGCCAGGACCATAAACTGTGGTTTACAAAACCACTGTGGATAGGTTTCATTTTTGCTGAATGAGTTCTCAGTCTCTCTTCTGCTTGCCAAGACACATCCAGAAGGGAGGCGGCTACAACTGGAGCGCAACTAATTGAAGCCAGCAGTTGCCACCAGGAAAAGCAAATGGAGGAAAAGTGCCTAGTGGCGCCCAAATTGGTTTCATGAAATCCACAACTCTGGGCACCCCAACCATTCAAACTACAAAACAACTTGAACTTCATTTAGGAAGTAGAACATCTGGAAAGCACAGGCCAGCAGCCTCTGTAGGGAGGATTAAGCTAAAGAGGCAACCTAGACTACATATACTATTGCAGAAGGTGGGGCTGCCCTTCCTCAGCCACAAAGACCTTACAGAGCTGGGGAGGGAAAGTTGACCACACACACACACATATATATATAGGGGGACAAGATAGTAGGAATTAATAGATTTAGAATGATATAGATATCAGCCCTGCCTTTTCTTTGTGGCTGAGGAATTCTATATAAAGAGAGCCACTGGGAGTTGAGGGACGTCTTGGGTAGAAAGCCGCAGACACAGCTTCATCGGCAAAACAGCCCCAATTCCACTCTGGGTTCCTGCTTCCCCGCCGTCGCAAGGGGCAGCACCGATCTTCGGCGGGGCCTCCAAGCAAGGCGGAAGAGCCGCGCGGTTCCGCCCACCGCAGCTCAGCCGTGGCGACAAGGCAAGGGCCCGGTGGTTGACCGCCGGCCTTTAATTGCTCGAACTGAGATGGCCCATTTGAACAGGGTCTTGCAGCCGCGAGCCGAGACGGCCGAAGTGACCGCGGAGCAACCGGAGAGCTACCAGCTTCGCCAAGAGAACGAGCTGCAGGTGCTGGAGTCCATCTACGGGCGGGACTTTCAAGACTTGCGTCTTGACCGGCCGTGGGAGGTAATACGAAAAGGCTGGCTGGGTTTCCTGTTTGTCGGTGTTCTGCAGACGATGCCTGGTGGTTGCAAATTGGGAATCGCCGCAGAAGCTCATGTAGATTTTGATTTATTGATTTATATATTAAACGGATTTAAAGATGGCTAGAAGTTTCTTTTTTGAGACTGAACTTTTGGTTTTGGTTGCCTGACTCGTCCCAATCCTTGTTTTCACCCGTCCTTTCCTAAAGTTGTCTGCTTGAAATCATAATATTTGAAGGCGTATTAACGACCTACACCTTTTGCTTCCACATCCAGGATGCTTATTTTAAAAATGACTGTAATCCACTGAAACACCTATCCAATGAAGTAGCATGGAGTTTGAGTCCAATGGTAGCTATGCCTCATTCTTGTGTTTCTGTAACAGAGATTTAATTATCCAAGTAGCATTCATCGTTTGCTACAAACCCATCTAGCACTTGCATTGGCTATGTCAATTAGAAGGAAGTAAATTATAACAGGATGTGCTACCTAAAAATTAACAGCATGGTACAGTATGCTTCAGTAGCATGATTTAATTTCAAGCTATATACGTATGTGTACGTATATACACTCAGAGTTAATTTTAATGGAGATAACTTGATAGTTATTTGTAAGGTAACAATTACTAAAACATAATTAATGCCAAACAGAAAGATGTGGTTTTTCTGTCCTTCACTTAAGTCTTCAGTATAACTTTACAGTTTTAATGGCTTTAATGGCTGTGGTAATATTCTTGTTACTGTTAGAAACCTCACTGAGATAATCTAAAATGCAATGTGTAATTTTTGTAAAAAAAAATAAAATGGGATCACTGGGAATTAGTAAGGATTCATTCACAACCAGAGAAAAAATGAAGAATTTATACTGTAGAATTTCTCAGTTATGTATGTCTGTGGATTCCTAAAAATATATATTCATCGTACTGTATATGCACCTGTTATTAATTGTTAATAACAAGTCCTATCATTGCAAGTATTACCAGTTAGAAGGATGAACATGTACATCCAACCCGCTACTTATTTACTTTATCCTTTCGTATTCTTAGCTGAAAATCAGAGAGAAAACTCTTAGTTTTGTGGGTTAAACTCAAAACCTCACTTAACTCTTTGGCCCAGCCTACTTCTGTAGTTTTAAGGCAGGGGTGTCAAACTGCCGGTCCACGGGCCAGTTGCATCACCCACTCCTGGTCCGGCAATGCAAAAAAAGTCGCGATACATCGCGACACGTGATGCGGCAAGTTTGCACCCGTGTTTTAAGGGGATAAAACTAGGCAACACCTTCATCTATATTATCTATGTGAACTTCCCTGGAAAAAGTGGGTGTTAATGGAATAAAAATGTCATCTCTACCGATCAATTATTTAAGATAAAGGATGAGAATATATTTTGTGTTCTGGCAGTCACAGGTATAAAAATTATACAAGCCTAGTTCTACTC